ATACCCACACCCCGTCAGCAATAACGCCGCTTGAAAGTGCTGCGTCAAAATGCTCACCGTAATGGAGGCGTCCTGGATGGGTTTGTAAAGAGGCAGGATGGTGCAACGGTTTAGGTTTCAGTTTCATTTTGCACTAGGCTTTACTACTTTTTAGTAGTAATAAGGAAGTACACCTTTCGAAATGTTTACTCTCAAAATTTTCTTACCTTTAGCGAATTCGTGAACAGTCACGAGTCGCGTGATCATTTTCATTTTTTTTAATGGAAACAATCCAAACAGAAGAGTTTGATGCCATCACGTATAACCCTAACTCTTGGTCATATTTCTGATTGTGTCCTTTATTGGGTGGTCCGTTCTATCCAACTATTTTCGAACTCTTCGTCTAAACAAGTAGTCGTATAGTGGCACCACCTTCTTTTTCTCATTATTGTTCAGCGTGCTCCGCTCTATACCTCTTCTGGAGTTTCCTCCTCTGGTGACGCCATTTTTCCCCACCAACTGTTTACATGTTCGCGTAACGAGCCAGAGGTATTTGGAGTTCTTTTGCTCATCTCGAGCTGAAGACGAGTTTAGCGAGCCATCACGTGTGCCAGATGCCATCCATACGAGTGAAGTCACCCCTACTGCACCACATTTCCACCTCCATCACACCCAGTTCGCGCTACAGCCTCTTTGATTGGAAACCTTCACCCACACTGCAGCACAATATATTGCGATTGATCGAAAGACAGTTCGGCGCTTACAACCTTAGAGGGGCCATTTGAAGGGCTACCCGTGCCCGGCTCTCCTTATGACTTCGTTCTCACCCTTCAAAATGGAGAGAGTCAGTTGCGGACCAAGCGCACGTTAGGTTGCAGTTAAAAAGGGAAGTGGTGCGTTGTCGTAGCTAGTGGGCGGAACCGTGGCCGCGTCGCGAGTGGGTCTCGCTTTCCTCAGGCTCTTTGGGGTGCAAAAGTAGTACATCCTCGATGCTTGCGGACAGTCTACTATGCATGGACGATAAGGTACACGATCTGAACAGCTAGCAGCGTCCTTAAAAGCGGCGAGAAAAGCCTTCGTTCTCAGCGACTCAAAAAGCGGTTTGGACGAGTTTCCCCTCGGCATCTTGCCAGTAACCGCTAGGACAGATACCATGCAGCACCGGTTCATATCAATCCCTTCGCTTCATATTTTACTTCGCAAATGAAGCAATACGAGCATCAGGTACGGTCGTCCATTTGTGGGCGGGCGGGCGCGGTGGGCGTCCGGGTCGGTATGTTGCAGCTTGGTAGGGCCTCATAAGGGTACCTTCCTTGGGGCGCTACGCTTGGAGGCGAGGATCCCGTCCTGGCGGGCGTATCAACCCTACTCTTGTTAGAAACTTATCGTGCCAACTGCCTTTAACGTCATTCAGTAGGGTAACGGTACTTGAAATATGTTTATACACATTGGTGCTCCTCCTTTAGCTCAGGCAAAAGTCGTCATCGGTGATTTAGCCTCGCTTAAGGTATCCTGCCCCTCCCTTTAGATCATTCACGCCAACAACTCTGTAGACCTCCAGTTTTGCGCTCTTTCACCCTTTTGTCAAAGAAGACATCAGTCATGAAACGCCATTCATCATCAGGCAGCTGTACTGACGCGCTAGTTCTTTTCTGAGTTCATTTGCCATTGAATGAAAACACGGTTCCGAGGTAGCCGATGGGTTTTGTCGAGATCGGGTCATTCTTACTAAACGTGATGGAGCAGGACTCGTGCAAGTCGGTGATTAGGAGTTCACCCTCGTTAAGGTTGAATAAATGCTCATCTGAGCCAAGCGATCGGACCAAAGTTGTAGCTGGAAGCGTCTCTCTGAAAACCTCTACAAGGATTCCTTTTGGTGCATCTTGTATTACAGGCTACATCTTTTTTCGACGTACTTTCGTGAATCTTTTCAGTCGAACATTTACATAGCTGAGTAGTGTAATGTTGGCACAACTTAGTAATTGTGTAAATGTGATTCAAACCTTCGGAGTGTGATGTCGAGAATTCTCAGACCTTCATGCGCGTCGGAGATATGTCAACTGAGTGGCGCTGTTTTTCGTGACGGTTGAATCATAGTTGGAGCGAGCGTTATCGGCGAAATATGACTGGTCTGCCAGACGTGCTCTATTTTCTTGATGAATTTTGTTGTTCTGCATTCCTAGAAGGGCAGACTGGCGAATAAAAAACATATAAAGGCTCGATGCTCATTGCATCACAATGCATCGTGGGCGTGAAGGAGGGGGTGGGGGTGGAGTGACGTGGAAGTCAACGTGTAGTGATGGGTATGCGGAAAGAATTGAATTTAGCGGAGATCTCCTTACTCTCGCGATTTTCTTCGCATTTGGTCGTATGTTTTCACCATGTCTTTTTTAACGTACGTCAAGAATAAGCGAAAGTAGAGCTGAATTCCAATTGGTGAAGAGTTAGCTGCAGAGAACTATTACTTCTTACCAGGGAACTCCGCCAACTCATCATGGAACTTTGAATGGAGACCTGGGTAGATCGATAGAGTCTATAAGGTTATTTACAAATATAGATAGCAAAACTGCAACCTGCATTTCACAAGCAACTTATGAGCAGGTAAAGTTTGTAATGGTGCAGTAGGGTGGAGGCTTGGTGGTGAGCTGTGAAGCATAAGCGAGGAATCGCATACGTCGAATCGAGTCGTGGTGGTTCAGTGGTAAGGTTCGACGTTCGACGACTCGATTCGACGTATGCGATTCCTCGCTTGCTTCACAGCTCACCACCAAGCCTCCACCCTACTGCACCATTACAAACTTTACCTGCTCATAAGTTGCTTGTGAAATGCAGGTTGCAGTTTTGCTATCTATATTTGTAAATAACCTTATAGACTCTATCGATCTACCCAGGTCTCCATTCAAAGTTCCATGGCAAGTTGGCGGACTTCCCTGGTTAGCACTAGTTTTGTAACGGTTCACCCTTTACTACCCCTAACTCATTTGATAGAAAGTTTTCGTATGGTAGTGCTCGTTGGAATTTCGTTGCACAGTTTGCTCTTCGTGAACACGATCATCACATGCTTTTAGCCGTAGACCGCCTGGTCCTCGCATCACAGGCTCCAGCGCCAAAACCGGCCTTTATTCCAGCGCTTGTAACGCGGGTAAAGGCGTTTCCACTTCTGGATACAATATTCGTGCAAAGAAATCAAAATACCTCCAGACTCCACCGAAATCTAGTCTGTTTTGAAATAATGGGAATGTGAAGAGTGAATAATGCCCTCGTTTTGACCTTAGCTCCTATTTTCATCTGTTTTCCACGCCATGGTGATGGTCCAAAATAAGTCCTTAGTCCAATAAGTAATTTACTAGAAAATGCCACTGCGCCGCATGACTTTTATCTCGAGGTTTCCTGTTGTTATTTCTCGTTGTTGTTCCTTGTTTTTTTTTCGAAAGTAGTGAGGGTTTGTGAGCTTAGGGTGGAACGAGCTTCTTGTCGGACTGGTATAGAACGCTCAGACTCCCGATCGCGTGCGATCCACGCGAGGCTGATACGGCTCGCTATAGCGCAACAACTCTGCTTCGCGGTAAAGGGGGTTTTGCGTAGTGGTGTGGCTTCACCGATCCGCGGCTCTCATCCCCTCCCTCATCAAAAGAGCTCAGCTCTGACGCACGCAAGCGTTTACGTAATGTGACTGTGGACTCCACCTATTGGCAAGTACGCCCGCCGAACCAAACCTGTCTCTCCGCTCTCGCTATGTGTACGATTCAATTCTTGACATGCGTCCTCACGTAGGAATTATGGCAATTCGCCTATGGGTGAACGTCATTCTTAACGATCGGTGCTGTCGTTGTAGTTCTTGAAAAAACACTCGTCTATTTTGTTGATGTCTCCCTATTTCGCAGCATGCTTGTGCGCATTGTGAGTTTATACTCTTTAGGTCCTGAATATTGACAATAAATCATGTCGCTTCAATAGAACGAAATCCTCGCACACTCTCCCCCCCGGCAAAATCAAAGGCAAAAGGCGAGAAATTTCTCTCGTACCGCAAATCTGAACTCTCCGCGCCAAGCCGTTCCTCATACACCCGCCCTTCCCCTTCCCGCGTATTTTCCCATATTTGTTTTTCAAGACGTCAGGGGTTTTGAGTCTCCAATTAGCGCCCAGGCCATCTAAGCCTTCTGCCTCCGGAGACGGTTGGTTGGTAGCATACTCTTCTGCGAGCATAAAAGCACTGACATGTGCATCGGCTACCAACCGCAAGTCTTTGTGTAGGCCATATTGCATTCAATAAGCTACACGATTCGAAAAGGAGCTAGAATGAGTGTTGCATCGCAAAAAAGGATTGATCAGCGGGCTTTTTTAGCTCTATTTTTGTCGAACATTAGCGCATGTTCTTGAAATTTCCTATGTTAAGGAGCCTTTACTCTCGGTATTCATGTGGGGAGTGAATCACACGATTGGTCAACTGGAACATGTTCCACCGCCGGGTTTGCTGATGCCAGATGATTTCAAAGCATACGCGAAAGTCAAGATCGATAACCACTATTTCAATAAGGACATCATGCCAAGTCATTACAAGGTTCGTACTTTCTTTTCTTATGAATTTTCCCAGCTGAATTTCACATTTATTCCGTAAATTTATTGTAGCTGTAGCTTTGAGAATAGCAGCCGTAGTTCCTACTCAGTCTTCGTGATTTTCAAGGTAATTCTCGCGATCAGGCTCTACGGGTAGTAGGTGCTCAATCACATAACTCCACTGTAGAGAAAGAACCGAAAAAGTCTCGGGAACGCTCTGAACAGAGACCTCCCCTTCAACAGTGGGTGCCTTGGACGAGTTTGTCAGACGTCGGCAAGCCCAATCAGCAGGATTCGACGTGCAACCAATTTCCAGTAACAGGAAATCACCCTACGACGCTTCCAGGCAACGCTATGTACACACGCAATTGTGCTTACAAGCCGTTGTCTTGCAGAGTGAAAGTAAACGTGGTTGCAATGATTGCAATAATCACGCATCTCTTGCTTCTTTGTTTTGCCGTTTCGAGTGCCGAAAGTGGTATATTCTGCGAGTGCGGACAGCGGTGCCAAATGCGCGAAGGCATTTCGCAGACCACTTGATCGCCGGAACTGTCTTTGAATCTCTGATCAAGAGTTTCACTGTGACTAATAACCAATGGAATGTGATAATGAGTTAGCGGTTTTGTTTTATATGTTTGGCGCGTTTGGCCTTAGGCACCGGCTCCGATTGGAAGGTTCATAAAGAAATCGAAGGGTCAACTATTGCTCAGATCATTCTGTGTGCAACACGTCATCAATATCGAGTTAGAGGGGCGGGTTGAAGGAGATAGTTTTGTGTCATTTTCTTTTAAGCTCGGACACGTGAGCGGCTCTGAAGAGGAGACTTCTACGATCGGAACGTTTACGGCGAAGATTTTTTGCAATGAGACCGCGCTCAACCACTTCGTAGGAGTCCTTTCTTGGTTTAGTATCTGGCCACGGTCTAGACTGTCCACTTTCACAGGAAATGAATGAGGCGCTGGCGGACCATTTCATAAGTGGCAGTTCGCTCGCCTTTCTGGTTTGTCCGCCCACCCGTAAAATGCCAAACTGCATATTTTTCTCGTCCCAGGCTGAAGCTTTTGCAATTCGTTTTTTCTTTTCTTTTTCACTGTCAGGTAGTGTATTGCTTTGGATGACGCGAGCAAAACGACTAGGTGTGTTCATACTCTTGCGGACTGCCATCACTAAGCGGTCCCCAGCGCTCGCTCAGAAGGTTGAGGGATGGGAGAAATCGGAGAGAGCAGGCAGCTCTATTAGGCGTTATGAAGTTGTTGGGCGCAACCACACCGTACAAATGCTAAAGCATAGGATTGATTGTGTGATTTAAGGTACTGGGTTGTTTACCAGTACGGTGCGGTTGCACACTCCGCAATTTCACGACACCTAATCTAGCACTCTGCTTTCTTACTTTCCCCATACTCTCCATTTCTGGGCGCTGTTGGACGCTGGTGAACGCTGGTAGACGCTGGCGTTCGCTATCTGTATTTATACTTTCCTTAGTCGCTGGCGCTGACGCACGCTCGAAACGCTGATGGTCGCCAGTGGACGCTGCCGCAAAGTATGGACGCGGCTAGTAAGTCAGAAGTCTAGGGTACCGCTTTGCTGGCATCAAACGGGCAGGTGCGGGATATTCGTATTTTGAGGCGGACAGGAGTCTTTACTTAGGATCTTCTCTAAACTGTTTTTTTTCTTTTTTCTGCCCTGGAGAGTCGCTCAGTGACTACATATTCATTATTAAACGCCACTATCCACAATCGCGAGGGTGGCGGGATTTCTCTTCAAACTGTTCCTTTTCAGAAGTCAAGCGGAACATCCCTAATAGTTCTAACGAAATAAAAAAGTTTTGTCAAATGTACTCGCTTTGAAGGTTACCTAAATGGCTTTATTTGAGGTGAAAGAATATTGCCCGAATGTGTTCCGCAATCTCCGTGAGCAATTTGGTGTTGACTCAACTGAGTACCTCCGTTCGCTAACCGCCTATGAACCGGAGCCGGACCAGCTTGATGGCTCGAAGACTGGTGCTCCTCCAAGACTTTTCGTCTCATTTGATAAGAAGTTTGTTATAAAGGTATGCACCATTTTGTTGTTCAAGTCGCAGTTTATTTATTCACTTTTTATCTATACTTTTCCTTTATTTAATATTTTTTTGTTTTCGTTTTTATTGGTTTTATTCAATACTTTTTGTTCCGTCATTTGTTTGCCTATTCCCATTTGTCAGTGGTTCTTTACAGTCGATGGATTCTGAAGCGGTTGCAGAATTGCACTCGGTTCTTAAGGATTATCATGAATATGTTGTAGAAAAGCAAGGAAAAACACTACTACCTCAATATTTAGCACTTTACAGGTCAGTAGTTTTATTGCATAACGATGGCTTCCGTCTATTTTTTGGATTTAAATTTTTGAATTCTATTGAATTCACCCGATCATCTCATTCTATCGTACTTATCGAAGGAGAGAAATCAATTTCCCGAGAAGCCTTTCATACGAAATACATTCGCACTCCTTTCAGAAAAGCCTTCCAGGAAATTGAAATTTTCAAGAAAAACTTGTGCATTATAAGAGAAAAGCCGTGATTTCTATGAAGGGTTTCACGAGTTAAGTTATGGGGCTGCAAGAGCCCTCGCAGGAAACCATCGGGTGTTTTCCGAGTTTGTTCTTCCCGTTGTTTCTGTGGAATCTCTTTAGCCTACGGTTTCGCTACTTGTCCGGCAAGATGCAAGCAAGCAAGCATCAGAAGGAGCTCACGCTGAAGTATTGATTGCCCCTCCCCTCTTTTAAAACAGTCCTATAAAGTTTGTATATGTCTTCTTCGGGACTGTTGTGAATTTGTTGTGTAAAGATGAATTTCTGCAATTTCCTTTTATGTAGTGTATGGTTTTGGAACCAAATTAAGATCTTCGCAGTTAGCGCTACCCGATCGGTGCGCACCTTCCACACCACGGGTTTCTCTCCATTCGCCAACCCATTGCCCCTCCGACTTTTTTCCAATCTCCTGACTCCTTTTTAGGGTTTCTCGGTTTGAGCATTTTTCCTTGGCACCGACCACTTAGGTGCACTCCCCGCCCATTGTGGGCGGGGCCTGGCATGGCTTACATGTGCGTCGTGCACTTTGACCTGAAGTTCCATATCAAACTCGACCTGCTCTGTAAAGAGATTTTTCACGCAATTCCATTTTTTGGGTGGTCAGGCAGATATACAAATCCACAGAAGACTCTTTTATGAATGCAGAGATAATCAGAAAATTCATAACCGCAGTGAAAAAGTAGTTGTAGAGGAGTATAAGCAGGCTTAGATAGTGGAGGATTTCCTGAACAAATCTTGAAAATGTAGCTTCAGATTGACAATCGATGGCTCTGAGACTTACCTGATTGTTATGCGAAATGTTTTTGGACGGAAGTACAACGTGCATACTAAATTTGATCTCAAGGTTAGTCTACCATTATACCTCTCCGATATCGACTCTTTGAAGGGACGCGTAGGATCACAATTCGTGAGCGATGAGGCTCAAATACGAATGTAAAGGCGCTAAGTAACTCAATGGTGAAGAAAGAAAACCATAAGAAACGAGTCTGCCCCAAATAAGCACGCTGCTAATCTGAAATTGTTCGAGCAAACGGCGAAAACAGAGCGCGCTTAGACTAGTTGCCGTTTGCTCATTTAATGATATCAGCTCTTTACCACGTCGTTCTAACCGGTCAAAACAGCTGGTAGGAGAACAGCTACACCTGCGCTGGGCATGGTTTTCGCAGATGGTCGGATCGCGTTGGCCGCGGGCGTCTGACGCCTTTTGGTCGACTTTATACATGACGACTTCGAAGAAAAGAAGAAACGCAGATAGAAGGAACTATGCGTACCGATTTGAAGAATCGCGGAATGCAGCAATGCAGAAAAGCTGAATGTGCGGAAATACCGAAATTCAGAATTGGCATATCTGCCAGTGGCGAGGCTAAGCATCAATCCCTTTAAAGTCGCTGTCCGTCATTTCGGTGCTTTTGCAGGTTCCGCACTTTTGCATTTTTCCCACTTCCGCGGCTCTTCAAATCGATACATATGCTTCCTTCTACCCCCAGTTTCGTCATTTCTTCGAAGTTGTCAAGTAATCTTGCAGACGAAATTAATCTTTTATTCAAGGGCTCCACGGTATCGCGTGCAGCATCTGAGAAGGAGAAGGCAAAAGAAGTACCGACGTTGAAAGATAACGATTTCCTGGAGATGAATGAAAAGTTGAGTCTACCTGATGTGAGTTCTTCCTTATTTGCTCCTTGCTATTGGACCCAGTTTTCTGATATCACTAATATCTCAGTTGATTCAATTCAGTTTAATTGTCATAATGATCTAATTGTTAGGAAACGCGTCACCAGTTGTTGGATATGTTGGCTTCTGACACGACTTGGCTATCGAAAATGCATCTAATGGATTATTCCTTACTGTTAGGTCAGTTCCTTAAATACAGTTCCCGCGACCAAGTGGTCCGCGAAATGCCGCCATGCATTTGGCATCGTTGTCCACATTTTTAGAGAATATACCACTTTCGTCACTCGAAACGGCGAGATAAAGAAGCTATAGACGCGTGATTATTGCAACCACTGCAACACGATCATTTTCACCTGCAAGACAACGGCTTGCAAGCGGAGTTGCGTGTTTAAATAGCGTTGCCTGGAGCGTAGTAGGGTGACATCCTGTGCTATTGCCGGGAATTAGTGCACGACCATCTTGCTGAATGGGCTTGCCAACGTCCGACATACTCGTCCGAGGCGCTGTCCTCACTGCTAAGGAGGGGGGGGGGGGGGGTCAGAGTGTTTCCAACGTTTTTTTTTCGCTTTTTCGCTTATTTCTTTACTGGGAATTACTTATGGGCTACTGGTTCATGATTGTTTACCTACTACACGCAACACTTGATCACGGGAATGGTTTTTTAAATGCAAAATTGTCAGTTTCTAACTGTTAGCTTCAGGCATCCATGATTGTGACCGTGCGGCGGAAGAGCTGGCGAAGCGACCAGTAGAGCACGTTAGTGAAGAGTCGGGCGACGAGCTGTGTCCCACTCCGCCAGAGTCTCCTCTCCCTTCAACAGGAGCGTTTCCACCCTTGTCTGGTGGACCGGACCTTGACGATGAGTATTACGCTATTGCTAGTCATCCAGGTAGCTTTCAAAACTTCCTTCGATATCATAGAGTTTTATGGTTTATCTGTCCCTTCTTCAGATTCGCCCAAGAAACTGATCTACTTCATCGGACTGGTGGATATCCTCACTTATTATGGTGTTAAGAAGCGCACAGCTACGGCAGCTAAAACAGTCAAGTACGGTTCTGACGCTGAGAACATTAGCACTGTCAAGCCAGACCAGGTTAGTAAAAGAATTAAGCTGTGTAGTAGGCCTTCCACCAATCCAAAAGGATCAGCATCCTTTTGTTATTGACTTTCAGCTTAACTATGACCCGTTTTCTGGGGTATCGGGTGCACCCGTGTAGGGCGCACCTTCACTTTGAAGCGTTGTTAATGTGTTCTTTTGCATGTGAATTATCTTCTTCGGATAAAAAGCGTTATAAAGGAAATTTAGAAAATCGCTTCGCAAAAGTTGCCAAAGCTAGGCTGCGTTCATGTCTTGCGCCAGCGTTTTGAGCACCAGGAAAGTATAGATATCGATCTAGCATTTTGAGAATACGCCAGCGTTTTCAGTCACTACTCGCCGAAATGCTCAAAACGCTGGGTGGATAGCTATAGTTTCCTAGCTCCTCATAACGCTGGTGGACGCTCAAAACGCTAGATCGATATCCATACCTTCCTAATCACTCGAAGCGCTCAAAACGCTGACGTCTGACGCAAGTATGAACGCAGTCTTAGGCATTGTTCACAGTCTGCGACCCTGACGAAACGGCGGTTGGGCGAAAAGCAATAGATGTGTATCGATTTCGCTGGCGAAAAACGCCAGGGCGATCGAGCTAGCGTTTCGTCGAAGGCGAAAAACGTCGCGGTTTGGCGAAACGCCCGTCGATTCGTATCAAAACCCTTTCGCCCAACCGCCAGTCGATACGTATCGAAAGCTTTTCGCCGAACCGCTGCGTTCCAGAGAAACGCTGGACCGCAGACTGTGAACAATGCCTTACAGCGGTTGGAAAATTCTCGCGCACGCTGTTGCGACCTTCCCACAAATCATCGTTGGGGATTCCCACAGGGGGGGGGTTACAGAGGTGGTCGCTGGCTCAGAAAAAATGTTTGTAGTTGGTTTTTCTTGTCTCACGCACACTATTCGGTGGGGTGGAGGGAGGTCGTTGGTCGTTGTTTGGATAGGAGGGGGTCGTGTTTGCCTTCTGAGGGAAATTTGTGACGTTGGGAAAATTTTTTTTTGTGAAATCCCGGAAAAACTGGTAGGAAGTTGGGAAGAATCCAAGAAAACCGTTTCAAATGGGCTACATACCCCCCCCCGGGCCCCGGCGCTCGACAGCTCGATCGTATCAGTATAAGGAAGTAGGGGGGGGGCAACAAATGCGCCTTCTGCCTGAGACAAATAGGTAGTTTTGTTTCAACGAAAAGTGCGTAAATATTTTCGATCAAATTAGGGTTCTCTTGTATTCTGGATGCTTACTGCTAATTATATAAGTACTAGTAATGCATTTTCGAATAAAGTACTTTCATTCCAGTATGCTCGACGTCTACTAGATTTCATTACCCGAGCTGTGACTCCGTAAGTATGAGCCTTTGTCCGTTGGGATGAGACTGCCTGTGTTTCAAGGCAGTTCCCTAGAATTCCCGGTCTGCCTCATCCTGCTATTGTCTACTTTCGCATGTGCTCTTCATATATATTTGTATGTAAATTCGATTTGGCCCCGTAATTTCCTGTGCTTTTTGTGATATGTTACGCTTTGAAGTATTATACTTATTTTATCTATTATGTCAATGGAGGACTACATTTGTGAGAAAGATATTTTGAACAGTATTCAGAAATGAGGATTTTGCCTGTTTCGAATCTTAAGGTTTGATCTTTATGACTACTATTTTGTAAACCGTTGACTTTGTGGTTCTTGTCATATTGTAGTCATATTTTTTTCTATAGTGTATTGTTATACCGAACTGCAGCTTCTTTCCAGAATCTTCATCTCTTAACTCTTGGTTGGCGATATTAAATCCTCTACAACCTTTATTATGCTGAAAGCTAATAACTTGATTTCCGTGACTTTCCAAGTATTATTTTCATTCATTCGTTTTGGAAAAATAGCGTTCCAAATATTTCAGTATTCTCATCTATCTTGTTTATTTAGAAGTTCTAGCTGACGGATCCAAAAATTTATGGAAAAGTTAAATGTTCACAGTAGTTGCCAGGCGCTCCAGTACCATGGGACTGCCATCGCATGCCACCAAACATTTTGTAAGGCCCTCTTTTTCGGAAATAATCATGGGCAAGCAATCCTGCCTGTATAAACTGCCGTCCAACGAAGGGGAAATGGGAGAAATGCCGTGGAAAGGGCAAAGGGTTTTGGATCATCTCGTAGGCTCTTCATGACCCGCCATGAGATTACATGTAGTGCCACTTTCGCAGCGTTTGGGCATCGCTATTACGCGCGTCAACGCGCTGTTGCGCGCGTCGTTCGCAGACATCCGGCGCTGATCTTTCCTCGTTTGCGAACGTTCGATCGATGAACGTCGGCCGCTTGCGTTTTGACGCAGTATGGGGGGGGGGCTATATGGTGGGTGATGCCTAGTCACGGGAGGTATTGATCGGCAGTGATCGTACGTCTATAGCTTTTGAGCCCTGCTGGAATTGTGGCACGTCGCCGCGCGTCACAGCGCGTCGACGCCTTGCCTGAACGCTGCCTCAGTTTAATACCACGTCCCACACCACGTAACGGACAATTGTCTTTCGTCCGTGTAGACGATCGCGGCCCCTTAGTACTATTGTCCCAACGGCATTATAGCACGTATGAATCCTTTATATCCCGAAATCTGAACAGATCCTTCAGCTATAATAAATATTGGCTGATTTATTTTTATACTGTCTAACCAGTGAAGCGAAGGCAAATATTGGCTGTCGAGCGTAGCCAGCGTCAACTTTTTTGTATATCTTATTCAGCTGTTGCTGAAAGCGACTCCATTAAGAGCTTCTTTCATCCTTCACCAGCCACTTGAACTACATTGCATCTCCCATTTACTTCTTCTACCGTGTATTCAAATGTAACTTAATAATCGAAGTGCTTATTGTGGTCGAATCGTGTGCTTCATGCATAAATCTTTCCAAATTTTATTGTGCGTTGATGCCAACAGTTCAAGCTGTCAGGTTACATAATTTGATGCGATATTCTTTTATTGAGCACGGTGGATGTTAAGCTAGAAGGTTCAGATGGAGGAGGCAGAGAAAGTGAAGGTTGTAGTGAGATGCCGGCCAATGTCGCAACGGGAACTCAACCAGGGGCACAAGGTCGCTGTCAAAGTTTCGACGGAGGACAACTCTGTGGTACTGGAGCAAGCTACTGGGAAAGAAGTACGCGTATTTTCGTTCTTATTATTTCATTATTCTTGAATTTGGACAGTCTTTGGTTTGGGCATTCTATTTTGTCCCAATGACTTTATGACGCGCAAGCCGACCTCAAAGAAGGGTTACAAGTGTGGGTAGCACATTTACCTGTCTGCGTTTGAGTCCATTCTTCTTCTCTTTTCTTTGTCTTTTCGCTGCGTTTCGCAACTCAGTGAAGTATTGAGGGCCCCAGATCCAAAGGAAGATTCGAAAGAAGTGCGTATTCAAAGGGAGGAGCAGATTCGGAGATGGTCCAGATCGCATTTATGTGGCAGTCCAAGAAGGCTTGTCTTTGGTCCCATCTTTCTTTCCTAGTTTCTCGCTAAAACCGCGTTTATACCTGGCGCGCATGTAAATAGAATCGCACATCCGGGGAACTGTAGGAAAGGGGAATATATTTGTTATCTGGAAAACGCGACTGAGGTTTATGTACGATTTGAGAAAATCGGCGAGAAACGATCAAATGGGAATCGATTAGGCGATCGATACTTTCTCAAATGGCGCATTCTTCCAAATTGTGGATTATCTGGAAACGTTAGTGGACTGAGTGAATTTGTTCTCGTCTACCTTTATGGTATCAATACTCTCGATCGATGCGAATTCTTTCTTTGTCGCATCTGCGTCTTGGGGTCGCATCTTCCATTCTATTTCTACCGTAGTCTTAAGAATTGCCCATTCTTGCGCATCAAGGAGTCCCCACATTTGCAGGGTTAACACATTAGAAGGGCAGCATTTTGCCCTTTCGCTAGATTTTTTCCTACTTCGAGTTATATTACGCGCTCATTGGTGGGATCGGTAATCCCTAGTCATTGGCGAATCAAGCTCATGCTATCTTTACAGAGTTTTACAGGTTGCCGCAGGAGGTGTTGACAATGTTTGATGGGAACAAAATCTCCCTACCTAACCGAACTGCGCCAATAATTTTCGTTTATGACATTTCTAAGAAACCTACCTCTTTATCATTATTTCCTTTTGTTTTGCTACATGACATTATACCGAGTTTACTTGGTTGCGAATTAGAGTTTCAAATTAGCTGTCTTCAGGAACCAAAGAGGACGTTTTATTTCGATGCAGTATTTCCTCCTGACTGTGATCAAATGCGTGTGTATAATGTTGCAGCAAGACCGATAGTAGAAAACGTGCTCAAAGGATACAATGGTTAGTTCCAGGTGTTATTAAATGTGTTCGCTTTTAACCCTTTTTTTCCTTACTTTTTTTCAGTTTGGGGCGGCCAGTTTAAGTGCTACTGTTGTTTGAAGTTCTAGTGAATTTGTGCCTTTCTTCTTCTTCTTCCAGGGACGCGCAAAGGGGATCACAAAATGCCGCTTCGTCGCGCGCGGCAGTGGGCTACGAAGCGGCATTTTGTGATCCCCTTTGTGATCCTTATTTTGCACTACCCTTTCGATTGGAGCATCGAATTTCATGTAGACAAGGACATCTTAGACAGTTGTGTCTATTTTCCTCATACATTGTCTGTACTCGACCAATACCAACGTCGTCATTAGCGAGCGACGTCGCACGCGACGCCCACTGGCCCGGCGCAATTGCGATTCTCCTGCCAAATACTCCTTATTCAGCTGGTTTCAGTACAGCTTAATCTTTTCTAGGTGATAGGCCTTTATTCTGTTGTCTGTCAGAGTTGTGATGATCTTTGATGACAGTGACCTGTCCTGCGTTTTTCTATCAGTTCTTGCCCTATTCTGAGTCATATATTGAATGTCGCGTCAATTCTATTTGTTCTAGGTACCATTTTCGCGTATGGGCAAACAGGAACCGGAAAGACGTTCACCATGACGGGTGATTTAGATAGGCCAGAATTACAGGGAATAATTCCAAACTCGTTTGCTCATATTTTTGACCATATCGCCAAGTGTCAGCAAGATACCACGTGAGTGCTAGTGCAATACTTAGATCTTTTGATGCCTATGAAAGCGAATGTGATTCAGTTTTCTTGTTCGCGTCTCTTACTTGGAAATATACAACGAGGAGTTACGCGATTTGCTTGCCAAAGATGGTCACACGTCAAATTTGGAAATCAAGGTACATAATTCTGTTTTGAGGTACATAGTTCGAGCTGTTTGCGGTAGTGGGTGATGGGGAGTACCGAGTGACTGGGGCTGAAAACTCAGTGAAGTTAGCTAAGGTTCACATGTGTTGTCAGCAAGCGCTTTTACGTTTTCTGCAAGGCTGTGCGGTGGTTCGCAGTTATGCGCTGTCAATTCACTGGCTTTTGTCCTTCTTAAGGAGGCTCAAAAGAGGTGCTTTCATGCGTATGTGAATGCATTTTGACCGCGATTGGCCCTAGAAATCACCGGTTAGTTACACGGAAGCTTATGATACTTGGAAAAGTTTCAGAGGCCTCTTTTGCCGGGGTTCTTCTTACTGTA